GGAGGAGGGGGAGGAGGAGGAGGAGGCGATGGGGGGTCGATGCGTCCCCCCTTGAGCCTAGCCCTCCCCAACGTGGCCCCTGAGCTCCGCGCCCAGGTCGCTCGACAGGTCCGCCTGTATGCGGTTGCCGAGAGCAGGGCGCGCGGCGGCGAGGGCGCAAGCCGCGAGGACTGCGGAGGAGAGGCGGGCTGCCATGGCAGAGGCACGGATGAACTGGTTCGCCTAACAACGCACACGCTTACACGCTGGTCTGGCTTAGCTTGGGCCCGAAGGACTGCGGGAGAGGCCGTATGACCGCCGTTGCTATGCTGGAAACGCTCACGGCCGTCGGCACGAGACTGCTCCCGAGCCAGGAGAGGCGAGACGTGAGAAACGACTCCAGGGGGGGCCCAACAAGAAGCCCGAGAACAATGAACGCCGCCTGCTTCAAACGGGCGGTCGCATAGGAACGCTTGTCATACAAAAGTGCTACCAACCAACATTGTGTCATTGGCCTCCATGTCCAGGTTCACCGCTGGGCTCCGAACCTGGACAGCATGTATCAAACGTAAATGAAATTTCAATCGAACGCCAATGAGGGACGACAAAGTGTTGTGCGAAGGTAGGCCAACAGGCCATTCATGTAATGAAGCCCACGACCCTCAAGAATCCCACAGGAAGCCCCAAGACGCACCCGCGCAGGTCACAAAGACATCCAGGACCCCCCCAAAAGAGGCCTCTGGAGTCGCACGACCCAGGCTCAGTGGCGGGATGGGCCGAGGGCCATTCGATTCCAGCCCCCACATTCAAGCCACCACTGCCGCTTGCCCCCGTCCCCTGTCCGCCTCTTGCGCTCAAGTTGTTCACCTCTCATGGCCAGCGGAACCGGCCGCAAGGCCGTTGCGATAGTCATGCCAACCGCGGGCCGACCTGGGGGAACCATGGCAGTAGAAACCCTAAGGAGGGATGATAATGACGGAGGAAGAGGGGGAGGATGAGGAAGGAGGAGGACGAGGACGAACAGCGGCAGCCGCAGCAGCTGGAGTGGGGTAAGTGGGAGGAGCTGGATGACCAGGGGAAGGCGGAGGAGGGGAAAGGAGCGGGGCGACAACGACGAGGATGCACTCGGATCAAAAGAAGTGGCCCGCGCTGGGGCGAGAGCGCCACTCTGAAGTGTGGAAGCCAAGCGCCGACCCCGAAATGAGGCCCACGCTGCAGCGGCAACACCATTCTGAGACACCGAACGCGTTCGGACTGGAAACAACATAGAAAACATGGTGGTCAGCGCGGACCAAACATTGTGTATTCCGGGCTATATCCCCCCGCCCCACTGCAGAGCGAACCCCCCATCCCCCTGCACCACCACCCCCCTGCAGAGCAACCCCCCCCCCTGCAGAGCGGACCTCCTCCCTGCAGCCCCCCCCCCCCCTGCAGAGCGGATCCCCCTCTCCTCCCCTGCTCCCCCCCCTCTGCAGAGCAGACCCGCCCTCCATGCAGCCTCCCCTCCTCCCAGAGCGGACCCCTCCCCTGCACAGCGGACCTGCCCTCGCGTACGCTCCCCCCCCGTCCTCCCCTGCAGAGCGGACCCCGCCCCTGTAGCCCCCCCCACTGCGACCCCACTGCAGAGCACTGCAGAGCGACCCCCCCCCCTCTCTGCACCCCCCCCCTCCTGCAGAGCCCCCCCCCCTGCAGAGCGGACCTCCTCCCTGCAGCCCCCCCCCCCCCCTGCAGAGCGGATCCCCCCTCTCCCTGCTCCCCCCCCCTCTGCAGAGCAGACCCGCCCTCCTGCAGCCCCCCTCCTCCAGAGCGGACCCCCCCCCTGCACAGCGGACCGCCCCCCTCCCTACAGCCCAGCCCCCTTTCCCCCGCTGCAGAGCGGACCCCGCTCCGTGCAGCCCCCCCCCCTGCAGAGCGGACGCCCCCCCCTCCCCTGCCCCCCCCCATGCAGAGCAGATTCCTCTCCTGCAGCCCCCCCCTCCTTCAGAGCGGACCACCCCTCTCCCCTGCAGTCCCTCCCTCTGCCGAGCGGGCTCCCCCTGCAGAGCGGACCCCCTCCCCTGCCCTCTCCCCTGCAGCATCATCCTGATCATCATCTTGCGGAGCGCCCCGGATCGGCGGCACTGGCCGGAGGCCACTACAATATATGGTGTGCAATCTACGTGGTGCAATATATGTGGTGCGACGTGCTTTGTCGAACTTGAAGTTGTCAACTCCACTCGCGCAATCATCCCACCCACCGATCCGAAAATTTGTTTGCAAAACCCATGCGGCAGCAAGTGCGATGAGTGCTTGGTGTTGGCGTGTGCGTCTTTGCGGCCGCGCTAGCCAGCGCATGCTCGCGCGCGCAGCGGCCGGCTAGTTTGGCGCGGCCGACGCAGCCGCGGTGGCGCTGACCGCTGAGCACTTCCCAGCTGGCACGTCAGTGCGAGTCGGCGACTTGGGCCAGACACGATGATGATCGTAGCGATGCTGGTGACGATGGTTACAACGACGACGGCAACACCAGTGACGGCGCCGATGCTGGTCACGCCGTCGACGATGACGCGTCCTCGCGTGGGTGATGAAGGTCTTGGAAGGAGCTCGACATGCGCACGCGTCCGACGCGCGAGTGGCCCGCACTGAATTATTTGACACGGACCGTGCCCCCTCAGCACGCGCGCAAGGGTGTTCGAATGATTTGGACATGCGGCGCGGGAGGCCCGTTTGGCAGAATTTAATGACAATGTTGAAAGCCGATGTTTTTGTCTCCAGAATTCGCAGGAGCGCGAGCGCAGGTATATGATGTTTCATTTGTTTCTCAAGGGCTCGATTTGACATCCTTACGAATCCTATAATTTGTTGGACGATTTAAGCATGCGCGCGCGGCGACGCGCGCGCGCGTGTGCACTTGGCCACATTTGTTGCAAGGGATCTTGCGACAGCACGCGCGCAAGGGCATTCGAGCGATTTCGGCATGCGCGCGCGAGAGGCCCGCTTGGTAGTATGTTGTGGAATTTCTGACAAACGACTCTTGGAATGTGCAGGAGCGCGGTTGCAAATATCTTATGCTTTGTCATCCCAACTAAGCCGTCATTCCCCCCCTCATCCTCTGGAATAAAATGCGCGCGCGCTCGTTCATCACTCGTTCATCACAAATCATCGTGCACGCGCGCGCATGCCGAAAACTTTCAACGCCTAGGTTTTCGGAGGGATTTAAAAATCGAGTGCCCCGAGAACGCATGCAAAAAAAAACACATGGCTTCGCAGCAGGAGCTTTTACGAGCTCTGAATTCGGATGGGCGGTGGCGCAAAATCATATGCAACTTACAAAAAGGAAAAAGGGGGGGCCGCTAACTCTGGGAAGAGGGGGGGGGGGATCCGAATACTCTTTGTGGAAAAGGGAAACAACATGCGTGGTGCAATCTATGTGGCGCAACGCATCCTGCCGAACTTGAAATTGTCAACCCCACTGCTCGCGCAAACATCCCATCCGCCCACCAGCAACTTGGTTTGCAAAACCCATGAGGAGGCGACTGCGGTGAATGCTCGGCGCTGGCTGGCGCATCGCCGCGGCCGCGCTAGCGCGCATGCTCGCGCGCGCAGTTGCCAGCTAATTCGGCGCGGCCAACACGGCCGCGGTGGCGCTGACCGCTAGGCACTTCCCAACGGGCACTCCAGTGCGAGTCCGCGACTTGGGTGGGTACTGTATCATGGCAGCGTCGACAACGGTAAACACGATGATGATCGTAGCGATGCTGGTGACGATGGTGACAACGACGACGGCACGGCCAGTGAAGGCGCCGATGCTGGTCACGCCGGCGACGATGACGGCGTTCTCGCGTCGGTGATGAAGGTTATGCAAGGAGTTCGACATGCGCGAGCGGACGACACGCGAGAGTGGCCCGCACTGAATCATACGACTCGGACCGTGCACCCCCCCCCCCAGCCAGCATGCGCGCAAGGGCGTCCGAATAATTCCGACCTGCGGCACGAGAAGCTTCTTTGGCAGAGTTCAATGAACATATAAACAAAACAAGATGGCATCCTTGAGAATTTACAAGGCCACGATCGAACTGATGTTGCGAAACCATGTGTTCTAAATGTTTGCGGGACACTCGATTTTGAAATCCTTGCGACACGTCCGGTTTTTGACGAATGTCCGCATGCGCGCGCGACGACGCGTGCGCGTGCACTTCGTCCCATACTTTGCAAAGGAATCTTGCGACAACGCGCGCACAAGGACATTCGTGCGATTCCGACACTCGGGCGAGAACGGCCCGATTGGTAGCATGGAGAGCACATGCTGAAGAAACGATGTTTGTGCTCTTCCTCTTTTAAAACATCGCAAGAACGCCGGCGCAAGCTTGCTTTGACCACTCGTGTTGCGAGACATCGTGTTAATGTATATGCTTCGGGACAATCGATTCTGAAATCCTCACGAAACCTAAATTTGTTGAAAGAAATCGGCATGCGCGCGACGACGCGCGTGTGCACTTCGCCCCATTGCCTCCACAAGGGCTTCTCGAAAATTGCTGATCTTTAGAAAACGATTGCGCGCGCACAAATTTTTCCAAAGGATGAGAGGGGGGAACCGGTTTGGTTGGGATGGTGTGAATTACGTTGGTAGGGCGGACGATGGGGCAGAATCGTGCCTACACTGCACTGCGCCTGGGGGACACGTCAAGTCCAGGGGGGACGGGGGTAGATCGCATTAATCTGATAGAAAGAAGAATATATGTGGTGTTATCTGTGTTGTGCAACCTATGTTGTGCAGTATCTGTGCTGCAAACCATGCGGTGCAATCTTTGTGGTGGAATCCAAATGGTGCAATCTGTATTGTCTACCGATGTGGTGCTATATCGATTGTGCAATCGGTGTTGTGCAAGCTTCGCGGCTGTGCAATCTATGTAGTGCAGTCTATGTTGCGCAATCTATGTGGGGCAACCTCTGTGGCGCAATCTACGTGGTCCAATTTACCCATGCTCGCAGTGAGTTGTGAATTTCACTGTTCGCGCAATCATCCCACCGACCCACCCGAAAATTGGTTTGCAAAACCGTGCGACGGCGATTGCGATGAGTGCTTGGCGTTGGCTGGTGCATCTCTGTGGCTGCGCTAGCCCGCGCATGCTCGCGCGCGCAGCGGCCAGCTAGTGCGGCGCGACCGACGCGGCCGCCGTGGCGCTGACCGCTGGGTATTTCCCAGCGGGCACGCCAGTGCGACTCGGTGACTTGGGCGGGCGCGGTATCATGGCGACGCCGACATCGGTAGACACGAAGATGAGAATAGTGATGATGATGATGATGATGATGATGATGATGATGATGATGATGATGATGATGATGATGATGATGATGATGATGATGATGGTGACGATGGTGGCGATAATAACGGCAAGGCCAAGGACGGCGCCGATGTTGATCACGCCCGCCGGTAACGATGACGGTGTCCTCGCGTCGGTGATGAAGGTTTGTTCGACATGTTCGCGCGGCCGACGCGCGCGAGTGGAATGTGATGCCCATGTTGACAGCCTGTGTTTTCCGAATTCGCAAAAGCGCGAGTCTTTTTTCTGTGTGTGGGTTTTGTTTTAAAAACTGAAATTAAACATGTTAAATAAACCATGTATGATTTATGTGTTCGGGATACTACATGTTTGCGGGACATTGTGTGTCTGGGACAAATGTAAAATGCACATCCCCAGGGGGACCCGATAAGTTCGGGGGGGGGGGGGCAGATCCCATTACTCTTTTCGAAAGGATAATCTTTGTGGCGCAATGTCTGTGATGCTATACGCACGCTTTGCAATTTCAGCGGCGCCGGGGCGGCGAAAGCGACCACATGGCCGCCAGAGCAGCACGTCGGCCCAGACGACTGGCGGCGACGGGGCTGCGACGGCGACCGCATAGCCGCCAGAACGGCACACCAGCCCAATTCCTCAGACCAGAGGTAGGAACCCCTGCGTGCAGGCACTGTTTGGGGAACAGATGTCGGAACTCCTGCGTCTGCCTCTACGACCACCCTTCGGGTGACAAGAAGGTTGCGGGGGGGATGCTCAGCTTTCGGTGTGCGATTGGGGTCGGATCGGACTCGGCGGAAACCAACTGGGCACCACGGAACACCCACCACCGACGGTGTTCCGATCGCGTCCTTGATGGTCATCGGGAACCATCGGGGAAAACAGCGGAAAGATGTGGCATTTCTTTACCCGCGCACTCTCTCTTCTGGAACCCACCACGAACATGCAGGGGAATCAGATTGTCCCTCTATCTGTCGATCGGGGCATCCAACGGGAACCATCGGGACAACCAGCGGAACCAAATGGCATTTACTTGCCCGCTCCCTCTCTGTTTTGGGACGCACTACGAACGTGCAGAGCAATATGTTTGCCCATCCATCTGTTGATCGGGACATCCATCAAAAAACATCGGGGCTACTTGCGGAAGCAGGTGGCATGTATTTGCCCGCGCGCTGTGTCCTTGAGAAGAACAAATTCAAAACACACAACAATATCACGGGGCACCGCGAGGCACCACGGGACACCACGCGACAACACGACCGGTCTCACGATCGACCTCGCTATCTGCAGATCTCGCTAGTGATCCCACGATCGATCTCACTATCGATCTCCCTCTATTTGTCGATCTCACGATCTATCGATCTCACTATGGATGTCGCTATCGACATCATTTTCGACGTGTCTATCGATCTCACTCTCTATCTATGTACCGATCTACCTATCGATCTCATTATCGATGCCGCACTCGACCCCACTAACGATCTCACTATCGATTAGGCATCGGGGCAACCAGCGGAACTGGGTGGCATGTATTTGCCCGTGCACTCCTTCCTTTAGAACAACACATTCAGAACATACAGAGCCACGGGGCACCACGAGACACCACGGGACACCTCGGGACACCACTATCGATCTCATTCTCTATCGGAATCACCCCCAGCCTCCTATCGATCGACCTCCTTATCGGACTCACGGTCAACCACGCCATCTACCAAGCAGTCTCTCGACCAATCGATCTCACTATCGGAACTCCACCCTGTGGCGCGCCAGATAGTCGAAAGCCTCGACTGCTGTGCGATGATGGTGGTGACGATAGGGTGATGGAGATGATGACCGCGTTGATGCTGATTGTTCTGCTGCTGGCGATGATGATCATGACGCTTATGATCCTGATGACTGATGCTGCAATGCCGCAATCGATATGGTCTACACGTCTTGCTCTGAGCCAGAACTTGCCTACCGTGTAGGAGCGGCAACGCGGCCAGGCCGCTCACAGAGAACCGTGGGAGACGCGTGCGGGAGCCATGCTCACAGAATGTGGGCGCTGAGGCCAGGAGTGCGCTGGCAGAGCCTGGCGTTGCCACTCGTCTGCTCTAGCTACTTACTAGCTGCTTCTCTACCTATCGAGCTCACTACCGATCTCCTGTATCGATCGATCTCACGATCTATCGATCTCACAGTCGACCTCACTCTCGATCTCACTATCGGTTTCTCGATCAATCCCGCTATCGATCTCAACATCGATGTCAGTATCGATCTCACAATCGACCTCACGGGACACCACGTGACGCCGCGCCACGAGACACCACGGGACACCACGAGACACCGCGCCACGGGACACCACGAGACACCACGGGACACCACGGGACACCTCGGGACACCTCGGGACACCAACAAGACCCCCCCGAGCCACCACCAGCCACCTGGGGGGCATAGAGTCATTGCGCTCAGCTTCGCCCTGGCCACGGCGGGTTCACTCCCTTCGCCCACCCACGCAGCTTCGCCTCGCCCGCACGCACGACACGAACACGAAACCGAAACCGAAACCGATTTTCTGGTGGGGGGTCTCCGTTTCACTTCGAACTCCCCCCCAACCTCAAATAACAAACACGTGGAGGAGGGCGGGCCACTTCCGGGCCATTCAGGGTAAGAGGAGAGTAGTATTCATATCGAGCACTTGCTGAGCGACTGTGGAGGAGGAAGAGGAGGAGGAGGAGGAGGAGGAAGAGGAGGAGGAGGAGGAAAGGAGGAGTAGCAGGAGAAGGAGAAGAAGAAGGAGGAGGAGGAGGAGGAGGAAAGCGAGGAGGAGGAGGAGGAGAGGGGAGGAGGAGGAGGAGGAGGAAAGCGAGGAGGAGGAGGAGGAGGAGGAGGAGGAGGAGGAGGAGGAGGAGGAGGAGGAGGAGGAGTATAGCGAGGAGAGAGGAACCCGCGGAGGACGACGACCACGCGAAGCCCGAGCCGCCACGCCGCCCCGGCGGGCCTCTGGCGCGAAGCGCTCAACTGGCCAGCGCAGGCGCCGTCCTGCTGGCCGGTGCCGCCTTTCGCACGGGTCTGCATCAGGATCAGCTTGACGTCCTGCGTGTGCGCAGCACTCGAATCCTCCTCCTCTTCCTCCTCCTCCTTCCTCCTCCTCCTTCTCCTCCTACTCCCTCTCGATAATATTATTATTGGTATTATTATTAGTATTATTATTATTATTACTAGTATTATTAGTATTATTATTATTATTATTATTATTATTATTAGTATTATTATTATTAGTATTATTAATATTATTATTATTACTAATAATAATATTATTATTATTGTTAATACTCCTCCAGCTCCTCTTTCCTCCTCCTTCTCCTCCTCTTCCTGCTCCTCCTCTTCTTCCTCTTATTCTTCTTAGTATTGGTCTTCTTCTTCTTCTTCTTCCTCCTCCTCCTCCTCCTCCTCCTCCTCCTCCTCCTCCTCCTGCGTGCGCGCAGCACGTTCTAAATCTGGGCGTTTTTCCTTGACTTCGGCCTCTTGGGACCGTTTTAGCGGCCACCGGGGCCATCAAACACGGACCCGGGGCGAATACCTGGCCGCGGGGAAGGGGTCGGAACCGCTGGGGCCGCGCACTGAGCAGGCCATGTCGGCGGAGGTCCTGCGCCCGAAAAGTGCAGCAGCAGGGTGGGGTCTGGGGCTCCAGTTGTGAATTTCGGCGTTGTTGCGTTTCTGCTCGCAACCTCGGGTCTCAGGGGAGGCGGAGGAGGAGGAATCCTGGAAAGGGAGGGGGGGGGGCGTGGAAGACTCGAGTATCCAGACAGCTGGCATGCTGCGAGAGGGGAGGGAGGAGGATGGAGGAGGAGGAGGAGGAGGAGGAGGAGGAGGAGGAGGAGGAGGAGGAGGAGGAAGCGAGGAAGAGAGGGACGGAGGGAGAGGAGGAAAGAGGGGGCAGAGGAAGAATAGAAGGTGGATGTGAGGAAGGCGGGAGGCGGGACAAAGAGGAGGACGGCGAAGAGAGTGAAGAGGAGGAGGAGGAGGAGGAGGAGGAGGAGGAGGAAGAGGAGGAGGAGGAGGAGGAGGAGGAGGAGGAGGAGGAGGAGGAGGAGGGGGAGGAGGAGGAGGAGGGGAGGAGGAGGAGGGGGGGAGGAGGAGGAGGAGGAGGAGGAGGAGGAGGAGGAGGAGGAGGAGGAGGAGGAGGAGAAGGGTGGGAAGGAGGGAGGGAGGGAGAGAGGGAGGGAGACAGGAGGGAGGACGCCGCCGACGGCGCCAGCACCGCCAAAACGACGCCGAGGACACCGGCTGCTCCGACGGCGGCGGCGCCGCAGGACGGCGGCGACGAGCGGGCCCAAGAGGGCCGTCCTGCAGCAGGATGGTGCCGTGGCCCGACGCGAGCTGCAGGGGCGTGCGCGCCTCGAGAGGCGCTCTCCGCGCGCGGCGGGGGGGGCGGCGGCGGGGGCCGCGGGGCCGCGCCACGACCGGAGGGCGGAGGCGACGGCTGCGGCGGCGGCAGCGCTGGCGGCGCTGGCGCCGAAGCCAACGGCGACTGCGGCGAGTGCGGCGGCGGCGGCGACGGCGACGGAGGCGGCGACGGCGACGGCGACGGCGGCGGCGACGACGGCGGCGGCGGCGACGGCGCCGAGGCCAACGGTGGCGGCGGCGACGACGGCGACGGCGACCCTCCACCGCCCTCTTATGCTGCTCCGGATCCTCCTCCGGCCCCTCGTCCTCCTCATGTCCCGCTCCTCTCGGGGTCCTGCCGCAGGGCGCGCGTGGTGGAG